CGAATCGTATAATTAAAGGATTTATTATCGTGAGAAAATATAAAAATGCCGCATCTCATCGAATAGTGTGGTTATTTTCAGTCCAAATTCACGTGAAGTAAAACTTGCACAGGGCCAGAAATTTGTCAGCATGCTCCTTTGGATGTTGACTATGAATCCATAACATTGGTTTACTCATAGGAACTCGAGAACGGGACCGCAGATTGCGGCGTATATTTTCGATCTTGTAACGGTTTTTAAATACGTTTCTGCTACATCTAAATATCTTTTAGTATTATCCGAGTGTATGGACTCAAAAAAATATATTATCAATTGAACCCAATCTGTCTCTTTTAAAATTGGTCAAATTTTACGGTATTATAAAAAAAGACAAGGAGTGACATCCGCCATTTGCCGCAACGTTTTCGGCATGAGTTTTTCCCCTTTGGCTACAATTGATTACTATTTTTTCAGAATTTTGTTCCCGTTATTTTTGTCAACTATCAGGTATCGTCCGGATATAACATTAACGGTTTATTGTTTGTACACGTGTTGACATGTATAGGCGGCATTATAACGGGCGTATTCGTGTATTGATTTGTTAAAATGGAGAAAACAGACACTTTAGTAATATGGTCCAACTGATTTTGTCTAACTGAAAAAAGGAATATTTAAACATGATCCATAGATAAATATTTTAGGCACTCATCTCGTATTCATTACTAGAAAAATTAAAACAAAAATCAAGCATATCAAGGGGGGTAACTTACGCCGAACGTTGCGGCAAATGGCGGATGTCAACTCCTTTTCTTTTTTCAATATACCGTATATTTGACTGATTTTTAAATTAGCAGATTATATTTAATTGAGATTAGATAATTAAAGACCACCCGCTCGCATAATATGAAAAGATATTCAAAGGTCGGACAAACAATATGTAAAGCCGGTACGGATTCGGATTTATGCGCCGCAATATGCGGTCCTGTTCCAGAGTTCCTAATTGCACAATAGCATAGGACGATGAGCAGCAATGTATAGTGCTGTAACGTGCACTAACCACATCGATGAACGTAGCTTCGCGATTCACTTGGAGGAAAAACCAATTCATTCATTTTATATGTGCTGGATATTTCCCGATAAGACCAGTTAGATCAGACCAGCCCCCCCCCCCCACTCAATGTAAGTTGAAAAATAGCATGTAGTGTATTATTGAAATAACAATATTTGTTTTTATTTAAAAAGAGGTCAATAAAAAAAAGTGTTTCCTTAATATATAAAAAAGGAATAAGCAAACGTAAGGTAATACTTGTCATTTTTATTGTTTAACATCACATCACATATATGTATATGATTCAATATCACATTTATTTTGTTTTTAGTTGTGAGGGGATTTGTATGACTTTTTATATGCTGAAATTTTTTGTTACTTAAAACCTAGACGAAAGATTGTGGTTTACTCCTCTTCTAAAATGAATAAAAGATAAATAAGCCATAAAGCGTCAATCATGTCATAAACGACATCTTTGTTGAACATCATTTAATATGACAATGTAAAGCAGCGAGTATGAATATGAAATAAAGAATGGTTTTCAAAAAAGTATTATCATATTTTAATCGTTTGCACCTGGCAAAATGCATCATTTGAAATTAGAGTTCAAGCAATTGATGGTGATAACTATATATGCCCAAACTATTAAAATTTGCGTAGAAATTTTTTAAACCATTTTTTTCTTGTAAATGGCCTACAATGCAGAAATCGGAAACACTAATGACAAGAACAAATGTCAGAACAATTAATAATCTGACAATTTATCTGTGTTATGCATATAAGGCAGCATGCATCAAGATTCGTGCTAATTTTCATGAAAATTAAAAAAAAACTGTATTTAAAAGTGAAATATTGTGAAGTGAACAAAGAAAATAATTTTCACATTGCAAGCAACACTTACAACCCACGTAAATTACCAAAACGTGTCAAAATAAGCAACGCAGTAGAAATATCCTTAATCCCATTTTACATATTACTCGAATCCTAAATATGTTATTTTCTTGAGTATGCAGACTGGTAAAAGAGAGATAACTACAACAAAAAATGTTTAGTACATAAATATGACGGTTATGTCATCTTAGAAATATTAATGGTTGCCGTTTATTTGGTAGATATAGTCTGATTTTATTGACCTGTCAATTTTGAATATATTATAGGACTCATTTAAATATTCGATCCCACTTCGGTTTGGTCCGTGTAGTTTACGAGAATTAATGTGGAGTATATAAGTCATCGATTGAAAGTCAGGCCATTAATGTGAAAGTTTTCGTTAATTCACAATAGTACAGTTGGTTAAGAGAATGCCTGATAATTGAGATGTCTGTGGTTCGATCCTTACTGTTGCCATTGTTTTAGTACTCTTTCTTTATTTTTTGCAGTATATTTTAATGGAACGGATTTGTAGTGTGTTTCACGGCATTGAATAGACATTTATTGATTTTAATCCGTTTTAATTTTAAACATTTCTTAAAACATGTTATTTAAAAAGAGTATAGACATAACAAAATTAAGTAAAATATAATACAATGTAAAACAAAACGAACAACATAAAATAATCATAATTATATAGCTTCAATAATTTTGAAAGTATTAATAAAAAAAACATGGACCAACGCGGCCTCGAACTTAAAACACGTGTGGCACTTAGATTATAAACTCGTAATTTACCCTATTGCGCTATAACGCTGAGTACACTTAGTTTAGAGATACAAATTAAATTAAATTCTATCGTACAGCGTACATCTCACGGAACTTACCGAACATCTACCGAAGATTTACATATTGTGTGCATCGACCGTGTAATCAGTATGTAATTGACAGGTTAATAAAACCAAACAATAATGATAACATGCAACGTTAACAAATATCTTTTCTACTTTGTTTAAGTACACTTGGTTTTTACATGTATAAGTATTTTTATGCAAACTCTGTTAGATTTGTCGTAACCTAACAATACTTCTCGGCTAATTTACTGTAACTTATAAAACTTTGCACCATAATAGTATCTGAATTGTACAACTATGAATTGTATGTATTCAATTTCTATTTTTTTCGCTGTGATAGCGATAAAAGAAACATTATGGTTAGGTAAGATAACGTTGATAAAATAGATATACATTTAATTTGGCTAAAATTTCATTTTAAATGAAATATCTAAATACCTGTGTTTGGCTATAAATTTTCTCTTTGAGTTTGTAATAAAAACTTTTTTTTTAGGGAAAAGCTTAAATTTTTATTGACCGGGTAAATTTATAAATAGTTTGTAAATTTATAACACTAATCCCACTCGGGTTTTAAAAGGGGTTGAGGAGAAAGTAAAAAAAAAATTTTTACTTTTTTGCATGACAGGGGCCTTTTAGTTTATTTCCCATGAAGGATATAAATCAGTTCCCTTTTAAATATAAATTTCAAAATTGTCCTATAAAACCGACCCTGGAAGGTTTTTTTAAATAAAAATTTTCAGATATATTTGTTTTTAATTCAAAATTTTTTTTAAATATAAACCCTTTTTTTTTTGGTTTCAAATTTTTAATTTTACAGTCCCCTTTTGAAACTATGTATTTTAATGTCTTTTTCAAAAACCCTTGAGTATTTCTTGTTGATCGTACTGTCAAAATGAAATGTGATTTTAATTAGTACAGTTATTGAATAAAATATAATTATAACTAAAATTTAAGATATACTATGCTCAAATTTGATATCACAAAATATTATTATTTGCTACTCAGTCTCTTTGTAAATATATATAAAATACATGTTTTGACTTCACACAAAGTAGTTATGTCAAGTATCGAGAAGTTAGCACTGACATCGAAGATCAAAGATCGAAATTCAGTTTATAGTGAGCTCGAAGATCGAAATTCAAAGTAAACCAGAGCTGACTTTCAAGCTGGAGTTGAACTTCGAGCCAGCTCGAAGATCGAAATTCAAAATTTTCAAAACCCGAATTTCGAGCTGGAGTTGAATTTCGAGCCAGCTCGAAGATCGAAATTCAAAATTTTCAAAAGCCGAATTTCGAGCTGAATTGAAATTTCGAGCCAGCTCGAAGATCGAAATTCAAAATTTTCAAAAGCCGAATTTCGAGCTAGAGTTGAATTTCGAGCTGGCTCGAACATCGAAATTCAAATTTTCAAAACCCGAATTTCGAGCAGGTGTTGAATTTGAGCCAGCTCGAAGATCGAAATTCAAAATTTTCAAAACCCGAATTTCGATCTTCGAGCTGGCTCGAAATTCAACTCCAGCTCGAAATTCAGTTTTGAAAATTTTGAATTTCGATCTTCGAGCTGTCTCGAAATTTCAATCCAGCTCGAAATTCGGGTTTTGAAGGTTTTGAATTTCGATCTTCGAGCTGGCTCGAAATTCAACTCCAGCTCGAAATTCAGTTATGAAAATTTTGAATTTCGATCTTCGAGCTGGCTCGAAATTTCAATTCAGCTCGAAATTCAGTTTTGAAAATTTTGAATTTCGATATTCGAGCTGGCTCGAAATTCAACCCCAGCACGAAATTCGTGTTTTGAAAATATTGAATTTTGATCTTCGAGCTGGCTCGAAATTCAACTCCAGCTCGAAATTCAGTTTTAAAAATTTTGAATTTCGATCTGGAGTTGAATCATATTTTATTCAAATTAGACATTTTCAATTTATTATTTAATATATTACAATGCATTTTTTATGAAAATATTTTACTAAAGAATGAGCATAGTATATCTTTAAAGCAGAAAGCTTAGTGCGTGCGTGTATTTTTATAGTAGTGATCATATTTGTTAAATCAGTCATCTGTTTTTAACATATGTGGCAGTAAACAACCAGAGTATTTTCTCATGGCAGTAAACGACCTATCACCACAATAACATAGGTCGATAAGCTGCAATGTACATGTATAAACACATCAATGAACAAAGCGATTCAGTTGAAAGAAAACCAATTATGCCACTAGATATTTCCTGATAAAACCAGTTAGATCAGCCCCCACCCCCATGTTAGCTTAAAAATAGTATGTAGTGTATTGAAATAGCATTTCTTGTTTTTATTAAAAAAAGAGGTTATTTTAAAGGACAAGTGTTTCCTTAAAATATAAAAAACAAGGATAATACAAAAGGTAATACTTGTCATTTTTGTTGTTGAATATCACATATATGTATATGATTCATTATCACATTCATTTTGTTTTATTTTTGAGGGGAGTTTTATGTCTTTTTATATGCTGGAATGTTTTGTTACTTAAAACCTAGAAGAAAGTTAACGTTTGCCTAGTGTGGTGTACTCCTCTACTTATATCAAATAAACGATAAATAAGCCATAAAGCGTCAATATTGTCGTAAACGACATCTTTGTTGAACGCCATTTGATATAACAATGTAAAGCAGTGAGTACGAATGTTTTGCAAAGAGTATTTTTTTTTTGATATTTTAATCTTTTACACCTGGTTAAATGCATGCTTATTTGAAATTAGAGTTCAAGCAATTTATATTTAGTGTTTGAAATCATTTTTTTGTCCAATAGGATTGCAGTATTTCAAATGAATTGTTACACATTTCGGCACACTATCAATCAGTCTAGTAAATCGACTGTTTATAAAAAATAATTTATAACAATAAGCAGGTTAAAATCTATAAGAACGCATTTACAAAATTAAATTGGTCACGCGACTACACCGCGCCTGACCAATCTTAATTTGTAAATACGTTCTAATTAATTTACTTATACTTATACTTAAAACACTTTTTTCCCTTAAATTGCAAATTTGGTAAAAAGGGAGATAATTTTTTAAAACAACGAATTTAAAGTAAAAAGGGAAGGGTTTTTATGTCATTTTAAGAAAATTTTAAAAATTTTTTCCCCCTTTTTTTTAATTGGGGGATAATGATATAATGCAATGTTAACAAATATCTTTCTACTTTGTTTCTTACATGTAAAAGTATTTTATGCAAACTCTGTTGGATACGTCGTAATAGTTGTTTATACTTCTCAAAAATAATTCTCGGCAACGTTAACAAATATAATATTTCTTTGTTTAAGTACATTTGTTTCTTACATGTATAAGTATTTAATGCTCACTCTGTTAGATATGTCGTAACCTTTGTTTATACTTGTCAACAATACTGCTCGGCAACGTTAACGTTAACAAATATCTTTCTACTTAGTTTAAGTGCATTTGTTTCTTTCATGTATAAGGATTTTCAAGAAAACTCATTTATGTCATTTATGTCATTTATTCAAACGCTGTAAGTTATGTCGTAACCTTTGTTTATACTTGTCAACATTTTTTCCCAGCTTACTTACCGTAACTTATAACACTTTACACAACACAGTATTTAAATTGAATCACTATAGACCCTTTCATTTAAGACCGTATTCAAGTTGTCGCCCTTGGATGACGTCATTGGGGGATACGGTGGACAATGCCGATACGATTAAGTACACTAATAGAGGGATATAAAGATCTTAATCCTTTCTCTTGTAAGATTTGCAGATTAAAATTGCCAAAATTGTGTGTAATTGATGAATAAGATATTACATAAAAAGGATGGTGAAATGAATAAAAATGTTAACTATAATAAGGTTAACGATTTGTTTTAATAGTAGACCATATTGCTGGGTAACTGATCATGATTACCATTTTCGTTAGATTCTTAATAATGAAAATTTTACCAGGCAGTTAAATCGTACTAACTTGCTAATACCAGAGATATAGATACTGTATCTATGTGTCTGCTAATATACAATACCCAAAAGAGTTTCAAAAATGTAAGGACTCTGTAGTTTCGAAAAACGGCTGCGTAATAATTAATTGCAAGATACTGGTTTATTAAAAATCATTTTGATTCAAGCATTACTAAGACAAAGAAAATCAACAATATAAATCTATATAATTTCAAAAAAAATGTAAAAGGCATAAAAAGTAAAAATTCTTTTGAATGTACATGACTGTATACTATTTGTGTCGGCAAAAAATGCACTCTCAAAAAATCGTACATCACACCCATATATTAAGCTGGTGGGTAATATTTTCAACTTGATACTTTTATTTCATACTCTGCTTATCAAATATTTTTTTTTTTAAAAATCACAAAAAAAAACAAAAAAAACAAAAAACAAGTTGTGAAACACGTTCACAGAAATTCGTTATTAACTGAATTATAATTTTACGCATTTTTGACTGTGCCAGTTGGTAGGACTCTGGATCGAGTATCAAATCAGTAAGGCATGACCAATAAAGTCCCTAGGATGATCCATAACAAAATGCGGACCATAAATATTTTGACAACTAACAAAAGTGACGTAATCTGATGTAATGTTGTAACTCTAAAAAATGCACCCTGGTGATTTATGATATCACAGCCAAGTGCCGCTTGTATATGCAACATATAAGCACCCTGTTAGTTAATATGTTACGGCACAGTGGCGCTTATACATGTATATACACATCTATTTATCTATAAAATAAGTTACTGAGAAAATGTCTTTATTTTCATAACCATAAGAATAGATTTTTAATATCAAAATTATCTTATTATCGTCTGTTGCGAATCTAAATTTATAAAAGTCAATGTCACATGGTTTTCCTTCTTTCCGTAATATTTATAAAATTATATCCTTCACTGGTTCTTTGAAATATTTTTAATACGGCATAGTGAAAAAGAATCAGTAAGTATTGACAGAATGCATTCTGTTATTGTTCTATTAAAGCTTGAAAAACAATCATTAAAAGACATTGACATTTGTCACAAATACGCCGGAATTTTCTAAATGACAGAAAATAACACAGAAAACTAGAAAATGGCCATTTAAATTTATAATAGGCAATTTCAGTGTGTATGGGTGTTTATAAAATATTAAAATTTGATTTAGTTACTAGCTTTTTATCCTTGCATTAGAGAAAATCTAGATCTACGAGTAATAAATATATTCACTTTGAAATTTCGCTGTTTCACTCCGTAGCGATAATTAATCTCAATCTTAGTTTATGTATTTTTTTCTATTGTCTTGATAGGCCTAGTGAATTTATGTATGCATGCGTAAATTTTTACATATTAAAATCATAATTGAACGATCAGTATTTACGCATGTAACTTTTCAATAAGCTAACATTCTATGCGGCCTGCAAAGTTTTATCCCCCATCGTCACATCCGGTAAGGGAAGTAACTCTTCCCTGACTGTGATCGCTTTTAAAATTTTGAATTTAGATCTTTGAGGTGGTTCTAAATTCCGCTCTTTTTATAAATTTAACATTACATAATTATTTGATTGATATTTACATACATTTCCTTTGGCTACGTGAGTTATATAGATTATTGAAAAGCATTGTCGTGGAAAAATGTAAACTTATTATTTTACTTTCTCCTGTTCACTCACTATATACCTATATAGTGCGGTCGATTTTTGCGACGGACGCGCCCTCAGGCGCGTTCAGAGCTAAGTCATATACACATGGGATTTCGTCGGCTACAATCGCGCAAGGTGTCCTCAACCGATTAACAGACCAAGAAATAGTACATGAATTTGATCCTTTAAAAACTCCCATACTTTGTCGGGATATCTTAATATCTTCCATATTTAGCCTTTTCAGTTTCAAATTAAGTTATCCAAGTTAAAATGTGGACGTATATGAATGATAAAAACGTTGTAGTCCCGTAGTATTATTGCGCAATATGCAAATTACTGCCGAAACGATTTTCCGCTGTCGAAAAAGTAGGACAGCAAATTATACTATAATAAAGGTGTAAGCTCTGAGTTCCAAGAAATTATTAGTAGGAAATAAATATTTCTACATTATACAAAACATAATCTTTAACAAATCAAAAGTTTTTCGTGACTCTAGAATAACTCGCGCATTAATAAAAGAAGAACTATTTTCGTGACTCATACCGCGGGTTTAGCTGAAATATTCAGCAGTTATTAATAAATTAGATACAGTACAATGGTTAGTATAAATATCTATTTTTTTGAAAATGCATGTAACAAGAGAGTTTTCAACACTTTACCACCATGTAGTCTTTTCTTGAAGGAAGTTATAATATCAGTTCTACTTCCGATTTATTGTGGTTTTTACATATTTTTTCTAGGTCACGATATGAGTTAACCATCGCTATTCTAAAAATAGATTCTTCTTCACCTGTGCTGATTTTTGGACGGGCGATTAGGGATGTAATAAACCAGCGATTACATGCAATACTTTTAGAAATTCTATACAATTGTAGAAGCAAACAAGTTGGTTAAAATGGAATTTAGTGTGAAATTGAAAAGGACAACTAAACACTGTAGTGCTAAAGTGACATTTAAATTAAAAATAAAAACGATGTGCTCTGGCCTCTTGTAAATAAAAAAATATAAATAATAGAAATCTACACTATTAATTGCTGATGATTTTAACCAAAAATATTTTTAATGAGACATATCCAAGAGAAATAAAAATACAAATGACTTATATTTCATTGTCTATAGGCCCACTATGATAACACGAAGCAATTCTAAATAGCATTCTCACATGTATAATGTATTATGCTTGAATTTTATTTGCATGGTTTTATTTTAGAAATATTTCGTTGACAGTTTTTTCTTCTATTTACATATCATTTCTTGGAATAAATCGATAAGTTCGATAAGGACACTGATTTACAAGTTTGACTAGAGTTTTTAGGCATAAATTTCATTCTGTATTTAAATGCTTGAAAGTAGAAAATCTGAATTATATCAGTTTGGGACACAAAATATATTGCTCTACAAATCTCGAACTTGTACGGAACAAATTTTCTCTGTTATATATTTTGTGTTTTGTTTTTGTTATTTTTTTTCTAAAAAAAGGCCTTAATGTCTCTCCAGTTGCATGTCCGTCGCATTCAGTGCTGCAGCACTTTGATTTAAATTATTGTTATACTGACAAATGTATTCATAATTGAATGGTCAATAAAATCAAGCTATGCGCAGAAGATGTTTTCATTACATCTACAAAGACAGTGTATAGCAATCACAGGTTGAGCATATTATATCTTTACGTTATTGCCGTTTCTTAACCTTATTTAACTTAACCATAATGTTTCTTTTATCGCTATCACAGAGACAGAAAATTAGAAATTGAGTATAAAAATTGTTATCATAACATAAACATAACATATATTTTATTCAACATAAATTGTAGACATGCAGTTTCTACACTTCAATGACCCGAATAGTAAACATACTGGGAGAAGGCAGCATTTAACTTTATAATATCAACCCCTACCTTGATGAATCGTTACCTGTAAACGACCATGCTGAAGTAATGTAATTCTCTATGGATACCGAAATGGAGACGCTTAAGTTTCATATCATCATCCTTTAACAGGAAACGATGCTCCATTTGTGCCGCGTCACGACAAAAGCAACATAATGGGTTTTCGACCCGCTGACCAGCCAGCCCGGCCCTCCCCAGTCTGATCAGGGCCATGTGTTCGCTATCATTTCTCTATTGTAAAAAGTTTTTTATAAGCGAGCACATGGACCGATCAGACTGCGCGGATGGGAGCTGGTCCTGGAGATCCATGCTGGTCGCAAACGCATTATGTTGGTTTAGTCGTGACGCGGCTCATTTGTTATATAGATGTTTCACTGTCATACATGCTGTGATCCTGCATAGATTTGTGATAGTAAATTCAGTTTTTGCCTCATTTCCATCTAAAACCCATATAGATTATTGATTAAACTTACTACTCATTTTAAAATTTTCATTAACTAGCTTACATTAGTGTTCCATGTCAATTGCCGAGTAATGTACCCGTCTATCTCAAGATACGAGAATAGGTAAATTATTTGACAAAGTGAAGGAGGAAAGCACAAGATACGGCGACAGATAAAAGATTTGATTAGTGAATGTTTGCGAAAATAGTATTTAACATTTTAATAGCATCCACGTAGTTACAAAACGGTACTATATGGATAAGATATAAATTATATTCAGTTACTAATATAAGAATTAAAACCAACAACAACAATCAATATTTTTGGAAAATATATAAGTGTCTCGTATTAAATCTACTCGAATGTGCATTTTAGTGGAATTTTAAACTTTATTTTAGAGCAGATTATCACTGTACTGAAGTAACAACGTTACATTATGGAAGGAAAACACATAATTGTGATTGGTGGAGGAACTTATAGAATGAGAAACATGTGGTCGGATGCTGAGGGATATGGAATAAAGGTACAGGTTTTGAAATCATGCTGTTACAAATCTTGCTGAAATCCAAAGTTGCGTGATGTACATGTTTTAAAATATGGGCGTCCATATTAGTGTTTGTTTAATTTATATTGAGGTTGAACAGTTTCAAATTAGATTTTTATTGGGTAGAGATCAAATCAGTCGCGATAAATTCAAACAAATCTCTTGTCAAAAGACTTACAATTACGGTTACGATTACAGTTACAATTACAGTTACAATTACGGTTACGATTACAGTTGTAACTATGTTTCTATTTCAGATCATACTTGTGGAATATGATCCAAATCATATAGCACGAGATTTTGTTCATTGTTTTGTGGAGTATGATTTCTCTGATCATACGATTGACCATGTGCATGCCAGTGAAATCATAAGTTTATTACGCAGACGGGAAATAAAGGCTGATGGTTGTGTGTCATTCTGTAACGAATGTACACCTTTGGCAGCGTTAATTTGTGAACAATTAGAACTAAGAGGTATCATATAACTACAATTAATACAGTGACGTTTTGTAATAAATCAAGCACTATATCAGTTTGAATTTGCATAACATTTTATAGATTTTAGATATTTTAGATAACTCGACAAGCAAGTTTTGGGTTTTGTGTATGTCGACTGTACTCAGTTTTGAAATAACAAAACAAAGAGTTAAGTACGTAATTCTTCAATTAAATTTAGTTTTAGAAATGTCGATATAGTGCTTTGCAAATATCTTGTGATTTAGCTACCATTTACTATTGATGAGTCTGATGACAACTGTGGCTTTACATTAAAGGAGCATTATGCCTCAGAAACGTATAAGTATTTCTTTTTGTAAAAGGGGCAAATAAGGGTTTTATATCGTTAAGATAATGGTATCAAAGCATGTGAGATGCATATCACCTGAGAAAAGTAATGCGAAATTACAGGTCGTAAAAGTAGCAAAATGTTAACAATGTAGAACTTTTTTTTTTGAAAATATAACCGGACATTAAAAACAATAAGCTTTTGAAAAACAAAAACAAACGCATTTCTTAGGCATAATGGACCTTTTAGTCTTCTCCCAACGGTTTGTCTTTATAAACATATGCCATGTTTACTGATGTATAATTTATTTTACAAAAATAATCAATTTAGGTCCGAGCTTCAAATCAGCCATCATAGCTAACTCCAAATCGCAAACGCAGAATTTGTTGAAAATGAGTAATATAGAAATTTTGGGGTGCAAAAACTAGTATTTTTTTACAGGCATTCATCTAAGAATGATTTTTACTGTGATACGTTACCCCGGGAAAAATTTGTGTTTGGCATTCGTTTTTTTTCTTTTATAGTTTTTCACGGGAAAAAATTTTTTGTTGTTTAAAGGTAAAAACAATACTTAAACAACAATCCTAACTTGCTAACATAACGCTGGAGAAAAACATTACATTTTTGTATATATAAAAAGGGATATCATAATATTTATATTGCAAGCGTAAGGTAACCAGTCAGCTTAACGAAGCAGTGTGTTTAAATTACATAGTAGTATATTTAATTGAAAGGGACGATTTTGTTTCTTCCAAAGCCCATGAATAACATGAGAATAACATAGATTTTAATCATTGCTCGAACTATATTATAACTGTTAAAAATATCATAATGTTTTTGTTGCAATTGTAAGCTAAACAGAAAGCTCAACGAAACAGTGTGTTCAAATTATTTATGATTGTTAATTATCAGTTTTCAGTTTCCGGCAATTCTCAAACTCGATAATTGTTCCGGAGGTATAGGAGCTTGCATGGTTGAAAGCAAATCGGAGTTGAAAAACAAATTCCAACAAATAACAAGCTCCTTGTGCACAGATTCGGACTTTCCAAGGATTGGACTTAGTCGAGGCAATTCAATGACAACATTTGAATTTTACAATGGTACTGAGCATAATGTCGATGTCATGTTATATGACAAAACTCTTGTATGGGCTTTTATAACTGACAGTGGAATAGTACGACAGCCATATTTTATAGGTATTTTTTTCATATTTAAAGACATATTCTACTTTACATAACTTTTCATGTAACGCCGAAATGAATTACAAAGGTGATCAAGCGAGTATTAAACATGCTTGCATTTCACAAGTTTACCGGTGTTATGCTCGATTAAAATCAAATAAAAATGTCGCTACATCATATTTCCAAGCATAGATTCTGATTGATATAACAGTGTAAATTTTATAAAATATATATTTCACACATAATTCGAAAAATATTATAAATCTAAAACTTGACATGAATATCTTACTTCAACATTAAAGATGCGTTAAGAGCGTGAATAATCGGTTCAGACTTTAAGTAGAAAAATGTCTAAATATTTCTGAAAAAACAAAACAAAAAAAAAACGATATTATTAAAATATCTTACATTAACAAATGAGCCGCGTCACGACAAAACCAACATAATGTGTTTGCGACCAGCATGGATCCAGACCAGCCTGCGCATCCGCGCAGTCTGATCAGGATCCATGCTGTTCACTATCGGTTTCTCTACTTGTTATAGGGTTTGTAAGCGAACAGCATGGATCCTGATCAGACTGCGCGGATGCGCAGGCTGGTCTGGATTCATGCTGGTCGCAAACCCATTATGTTGGTTTATGTTGGTTTTTTTCACGACACGGCTCAAATATATTTTAGGTACTGCTAAACGGATGCCTTCTTTTCTACCAGACGACAGCCGCAATCAGCTGATAGACGCTGCTTATAAATGCTGCATAGGGATAGGTAATATAAATATTCTGAAGCTGTATATTTTGTAGAGATACGATAAGACACAACGTCTAAGATTTGTTTCAGACTTTTGATGGAATAAAATTAGTTCAGTCTCTGCAGGTCTTTTATAGATTTATACGGGTGATTATTAAAATAAGTTTAATAATATTTTATTGGTCATATTCTACATGATAAATTTATACAATCTAACATCATTATATAAAGCAATAATACGGTGACACATACAAAAGGAGTGCACCAAAAGTTATACAAACTTACCTATGGTTCTCTCCTTATTTCCTTATTAAAAATAACAACTATACATGTACACTTTCATTTCAAAAGGTCTAACGGATGGAACTTTCAATGTTGAGTTTATAATGACAGCCAACGGACCAAAACTTGTAGAAATCAATCCAAGAATGTGCGGCTACGTCTTTAGGGATTGGATAATGAAATTGTACGGAATTGATATCATGTTATATACAATGATGATCTCTTGTGGAATAAAACCTGAGTTACCAAACATTTCAACAGACATAATACAGATGGGCGTGATGGTGATACCATCTTTACATGGAAAACTTCTGACAGATGATCAATACAGAAATAAATTGAATGAAATGATTGATGCTGGTGACGTCACATTTCTTCAGTTCCTGGAAAGTTTTGAGCATCTGTCCACCTATGACAAACCATTTGGAAATGTAGCTGTTTCCGGCACAGACTCAATCGAAGTTAAGACGAAATTGATGAATGTGTGTAGAGCGCTCGACATAGACCAACACGATTATCAAGTTGACATTTTTATAAGGAATTTTTAAATAACACACTGTATACATGTAGTTACAAAATCTTGTTTAATTACTTTATATACAATGTATGAATGAATGTTATATAAAGGGGGCCAACTGAGGATTTTTTTACATGATTGGACATATAATATTTCTTCGTGATTAATGTTCTGTTTGTGGTATGTCTAGACCAATAACTTGTGTACAAAATTATAGACTTTTCGCCCATCATATTTATTCAAGAATTCAAGAATAAGTATTGCAATTGTGATAAAATAAGCAAAATCTGAAAAGCGTTACAATGCTTTGCACTCAAATTTGCTTAGAATAGCATGCAAATATCATTTTAATTCATTTCTGAGTATATTCTTTATGTTTATGTATTTCTTTATTATCGTTTATGTGCCTCGCTGTTTTAAATGCCTCAGCAGATCTATGTAAGGAATTCAAAAATTATGTTTTAAGGTTTATGGACCTCAGTGGGATTCCTTTGACTAAGAGAGAAGTAAAGAAAAGAAAGCATTCTGTTTTAGTTTAAGTTTATAAGTACTTATCAATTTAAGCAATTCGTTAATGGTAATGTATTAGGTTGTAGCCATTTCATTTAAAAAAAACCTCCCACATTTCTTTTACTTTTGCATCAAATACTATTAAAAAGTTGTACTAGATTGTTGCATACCTTTTCATCGACATTTTAATATGTAGTTATACCACAAGCATTAACAAGCACATTACATTGATAAGCTTTCAAATTGATGATCTTTTGCTTTTGCAATGTATTAACAAAAAGTGCATTGAAATGTATTCTAAATCATTACAAGATTTTTTTTCTTCGTTTCTTAGCTCACCTGAGCTAGCACAGAGTGAGCTTTTAGGATCGTTGAATGTCCGTCGTCCGTCCACAATTGTAGCGGTTACATTTTTGTCTCAATAATCATTAAACTTTGTCAGGATGCTTGTAATAGCTAATAGCTCAGATGAGTTCGAACATGGGTCATCTCGGATGAAAAACTAGGTCACAAAAGCTAAAAATAGAAACAAAAATCTTATTAACACTCTGGTGGTGACATTTTTGACTCAATTGTCATCAAACTTGTTTAGGATGCTTGTCCAGGTAATTGCTCGGATGAGTTCGAACATGGGTCATCTCAGATGAAAAACTAGGTCACAAAAGCTAAAAATAGAAAAATCTTGTTAACACTCTCTTGGATACTGTTTTGACCCAAATATCTTGGAAATTGGTCTGAAAGTTTGTTTTGATGATTTCTAGGCCAAGTTTGAATATGGGTAACCTGGGGCAAAAACTAGGTCACACTGCCCAAATATGGAAAAACCTTGTTGAGATGAATCATGTTCGAACTCACCTTACATGGTGGCTGTAGTTGTTTATAAAAGGCAAACGTGTCTGACCACAAATTTTAACAACGTTAGAGAGTTGGCCTTTCCCTTCTTTGATAAATAAGATTTACAAACATACACATATGTCATTCAAAAGCACTTGGAATCTTTGGATCCAAAGTTAAAGGATATGTCTTAACTAGACGAGAAAGCATTTGCCAGAATACAGAAACCAGACATTTTGAAGCATATTTGTAAAATATGGACACTTTTTTCTCGGACAAAATTAAATAAGAGATAGAGAACTTTATAAAGAATCACATCATAAAGTTCAACAAATCACGAATGTATTAATGTCACGTAATAATACATTCATATGCTGTTACTTAACGGTATGTAATATGTCTTCTTGGCCGTCGTTATCACTGCTGATTTAATATGCAATTTGGTTTAAACAAAATTTATTTTAGTTCGATTGTACATGAGGCTTTAACCACTTTCGAATCAGTTCCAGGAACTAACCGTGACAGAGCAATAAATGTACTTTCTTGCCTAAGGAAACAACTACTTCCCTCTGTCGGACTTTGAACTCATGCGAATAACAACTAGAACTATCACTAAATGTGATTTATACCCCCGCAAGACTGCTTCGGAAATGAAGATGTTACTAGAAACATAATACCTTGTAAAAGAATTGAAATAGAGTTATGGTTGTGGGCAATTAAAGATAGTTGTGGTTCTTGTTTGTTGCATTTCCTTTCAATGCGGTTGACCATTGATGAAATTTTATTGAATTACTCTGTAATAAGTCCAGAAAGACAAGGAAAAGGAACAAAGCACAATAACTCTATAAATACTGAAGATGGAGTTATTGTTATTGTACACTACACTCATTGCGCTTTACCATTGTAAGAAGTTGTATTGAATTCCAGCCACTAGTTTTCAAGTTATGCACTGGACTAAAATAGTAACAAAGGGCAATAACTGTAATTTGTCCAAATAGAGATGGTTCCTGTGCACTGCACTTCATTCCACTGCCCTTGACCATTTTATACAGTTTCATTGAATTCCAACCATAAATTTTCAAGTTATGCACTGGACAATAAAAAGTAACAAAGGGCCAAAACTTTTAAATGAGTCAAGAAAGAGTTATGGTTTCTGTGCACTGCGCTTCCTCTCAATATACTTGACCATTGTGAATTCCAACTAGTAGTTTTCAAGTTATGCTCTGGACAAGAAAAAAGCAATGGAAAAGTAACAAAAGGCAATAACTCTATAATTACTCTGGGCAAAGTTATAGTTCTTGTGCACTGCACTTCCTTTTTTGTGCATGACCATTGTATGAAGTTGTTTTGAATTCTAACTAGTACGTTTTAAGTTATGCTGGAACAAGGAAAAGTATCAAGGGCAGTTTCTCTTTAATTTGTCAAAATGGAGTTATGGTTCTTGTGCACTGCACTTTCTCTTAATGTGCTAGACAACTGTATGAAGTTGTATTGAATTCCAACCAGTACTTTTCAAGTTATGCTCCAGACAAGGAAAAGTAACAAAGAGCAATAGCAAAGAGTAATTAGCAAAGATGGAGTTGTGGTTCTTGTGCACTGCACTTCCTCTCAATGTGCTTGACCATTGTATGCAGTTGTATTGAATTCCAACCATTAGTCTTCCAGTTATGCTCCGGACAAAAAAGCAATGGAAAAGTAACAAAGGGCAATAACTCTTTAACTAGTCAAGATGAAGTTATGGTTCTTGTGCACCGTGCTTTTCCTTATTGTGCTTGATCGTTGTATAAAGTTGTTTTGAATTCCAACCAGTAGTTTTTAAGTTATGCTCGGACAAGGAAAAGTAACAAAGGGCAGTAATATTGTAATTAGTCAAGATGAAGTTATGGTTCTTGTGCCCTGCACTTCCTCTCAATGTGCTTCACCATTATATGAAGTAATATTGAATCTAAACATTAGTATTCAAGTTATGGTCCGGACAAAAGAAAGCAATGGAAAAGTAACAAAGGGCAAAAACTATGTTATTACTTTAGATAGAGTTATGGTTCTTGTGCAATGCACTTTCCCCTATTGTGCTTGACAATTGTATGAAGTTGTGTTGAATTCCAATCGCTAGTTTTCAAGTTATGCTACGGACAAGGAAAAGTAACAAAGGGCTATAACTCTGTAATTAGTCCATATGGAGATATGTTTCTTGTGCACTGCACTTCCTCTCAATGTGCTTGACCATTGTATGAAGTTATATTGAGTTCAAACCATTAGTCGTCAAGTTATGCTCCGGATAAGGAAGATGCAACGGACTGCTTGACCGACCGACCAACAAACCGACCGACCACCGGGTGACTCTTATATACGCCCCCAACCCAACTTCGTGTCGGGGGTATAATTATAAGGATACTAGCCCGAAGCGTTAATCACTCGGCCATTCTGTCACTTATAAAAACAATTGATATACAATTTGAAACCACCTGTTTTCTATAATAAAGCAGCAACAGTGATTTTTCATTCCATCCATTTTCATTCAAGGGTCACAACTACTGTATACTAATATGCACATTATTGCCAAACTGTATGATACAAAAAATAAACAATACAAATGGTTTCATACGGATCATAATTCATTTAAAACGGATTTCAAACACTAGTTTATTCATTTCTTTCTGTACGTTTTTTCTTCTTGTTATTTAGGAATATTATTACACCCATTTGTCACGGTATGCACATTTAATGCACATTTAATGAAACGGAAATTTTAACGGATGTAGTTAGTCACACATCTAGATTAAATAAGTTTAACAATAAGCTTCAAAGTCCGTATGTCCTTTTGTTAAAATCGATATCATAAGCGCGCATATCTTCACAAGTGAGGTGACATTTAATTGATTTAAGAATCTATGTTTACATGTTACAGTTTATAATCTATACATAGCATTACAAACACCTTTTGCTCAAACAAGGAATCGAATGGAAGATAGCTCCTGATATAATCATTTTCCTTTTTCTTTTTAACGCAATGACATGTATATGTACAAGTCTAAATAAAAATAAGCAGGTTACTTTTTAGCTCGACTATTCGATAAGAATAAGTAGAGCTATTGCAGTCACCCGAGCGTCGGCGTCCGCGTCGGCGTCGGCGTCGGCGTAACCACTTATGTTAAAGTTTTTGTAATAGTTCAAATATTTTCAAAGTCCATAAACATATGGCTTTGAAACTTTGCACACTTGTTCACCATCATGACCCCTACCTGTAGACAGGAGGAGGTAACTCTATCAAGCATTTTGACAGAATTATGCCCCTTTTTCGACTTAGAATTTACGTTAAAGTTTTTGTAATAGTTCAAATATTTTCAAAGTCCATTGACATATGGCTTTGAAACTTTGCACACTTGTTCACCATCATGACCCAACCTGTAGACAAGAGGAGGTAACTCTATCAAGCATTTTGACAGAATTATGCCCCTTTTTCGACTTAGAATTTACGTTAAAGTTTTTGTAATAGTTCAAATATTTTCAAAGTCCATTGACATATGGCTTTGAAACTTTGCACACTTGTTCACAATCATGACCCCAACATGTAAACAGGAGGAGGTAACTGTATCAAGCATTTTTTTTTACTATCAAGCACTAAGAATAGTCGAGCGTTGCTGTCCTACCGACAGCTCTTGTTTAAGAGGTTAATATTGTTATATGCATTTTTATGAGGCGTTTTATTATTCGATATAAAAAGCTTATCTAGTTATGTTTATTGTTTTCTCCTTAAAAAGGGTGTAAATCTATATCATTTTTAACATAATCAAGGACGGATTTGAAAACAATCAACAAATGTTAAAAACTGTTATCAACATACTTTTTAATCATCACATCGATTAAAAATTTAACCTAATTGCAAGCTCAAACCGAAGCTTTTACACGAAATTTATTTTTCGACGTAATGATCGAAAATGCAATGTTATATTGATATAAAAATATTTTCTTAACTTTTCATGGATGTAACCTCATTAATGTCTGTGTCTGTATGACAAATGTACTTAACTTTACATATTCATTTGACTGATTAGTATATAATTGTGATAACTGTCTAATTTCTATGTTTTCAAAACACATTGAGTATTTCTTGTTGGTCTTACTGTCAAAATGAAATGTGAAATGAAATGAAATTTTACCATTTTATGTTTCAATGTTGAATTTCGCTTAAGCCGGTGCTAGGGGGCGTGGACGGTAGTTTGCACTTTACAGTACCGTCCATGAACGGGCTCAATCAAACCGAGCCTGCAACATTTTCAAATTTGCCGTGTTGGGCTTTCTTTAGGGATTCTTATTTTCTCTATTTTATCGCCACATCAGCGTTGTTTATGCCGTGTGGAGGCTTTAAAAAGTCGCCCCGTACATTCAATCAGAGATGTTATATTTCCGATCCATAAAGATCGTTCAGCACGACATTATTTCTGTGCTTGTGGTATTTTTAGTTTTAACTTTTCGGCATTTTTTAGTTTGGTAGTTCCAATATTCCTACTTGAATAATTGGATCACCCTTAGGATATGTTGCCTGCTTTTTAACACTGTCTTTTGACGTCTTATTTGTGATATGCAGGCTTCATAACCTCTGATCCCCTTTCAAAATTCCATTTTATTTCGTTCCGCTCATTGTTTTCTCGTTTAGGGCACACGCTTTTTATTACTTGGGGACCATACGCCGCTTTTCATAGGAATGGCACGGATCTGCGGTTGTTTCTAAATTCAAACTTTTACCATTTCATGTTTAAATGTTGAATTCTGCTTAAGCCGGCGCTAGGGGCGTGGACGGTAACTTGCACTTTACAGTACCGTCCATGAACAGGCTAAATCAAACCGAGCCTGCAACGTTTTCAATTTTGCCGTGTTTGGCTTTCTTTAGGGATTCTTATTTTCTCTATTGAATAGTACAGCCATTGGAGGAAATATAATAAATAGTAAAATTAAGGCAGAGTACATAGTGTATGTATTATTAAAATAGTAATCATTTATTAAATCAGTCATCTTTTTTCAACATATGTTGCAGTAAACGGCCCGAGTATGTTTTCATATGTGGCAGTTAACAACCTTTCAGCATAATAAGAACATAGGACGATGTATAGTATAGACGATGTATAATGCTGTAAAGTAATCTTAATGCATAGGTGAACTTAGCGATTCAATTGAAATTCGTGATAACACCAGCTAGATCAGCAAAAAGAAATAACAAGAAAAACAAACTATGAATATTCATTTAAAATTAGCCTATAATGTATTATAATACCATCAAGGGCCATCCCCCCACCAAATGTATTTGCTCATTGGAAGAATGTATATGTAGTTGTCGGGAAGACGTACGCTATGTGTAGGCGGGAACAACAACGACGTATTGACGGCGGGAATCAAGATGACGTCAACGTTTATACCAACGTTTATACCAACGTCACTACCGCTTTACTTGTATATATTATTGAGATATTAAAAAGATAGAAACAAGACAGAACGCGAAGCTTATATCTATACCCCACATTTTGGTGCCGTGACGAACTAGTGAGAAATTACAGACAAATATGGATCTTAATAAGCTAAAAAAGAAGAGAGACGCTCAGAAAGCTGTTATTTCCAGACATTTACAGAAGTTAGAAGATTCTACTGATGATTGCGTTCAGTTCCAGACGATATTTCATAATTTACAGTCTAAAGTTGCAGAACATTATTACTCTAACCGACGAGGATGATTTCGAAGTTGAGATGGTCGAAACAGAAGATTATATGCTAGATTTAAAGATTCGAATCCGAAACTTGGAAGCAGAACAGAGACAACCCTCCGGTAATGTTATACCACCGCCGCTGCTCAATCCCGTAGATCCCCCGCTAGATGAGCCGCCTATGAATAACAGTGCCAACATCGCATATCATTCCGAGAACACTTCCGTTAACACGACCAACAGTACTTCCGATGGACATGTAAGTGACATTTCTATACATAACGGACAGTATTCTCATTTTCACAAACTTCCAAAACTTACGCTACCTATATTTACCGGCAACATTTTAGAATGGCAGACATTTTGGGATTCGTTTGAGTCAAGTGTACACAATAACGTATCTTTATCTGACGTTTACAGAAGTTCACATATCTGAGATCTTTACTCCACGACGATGCAGCTAGAGTGATTCAGGGATTTCCGTTAACGCATTCAAACTATACACAAGCAGTTGCGTTCCTGAGAGAACGTTTCGGACAGGAACACAAGATTATAAACGCTTACATGCAGTGTTTATTAGATTTTACCCCGTCCTTACTCTGACATTAATAGTTTACGAAATTTTCAAGAGAAAATGGAGTCATATATTAGAGGATTGCAGTCACTTGGTCAAGGTCAAGACTCTTACGGTAATTTACTTGTCCCTGTGGTATTAGAGAAACTTCCTGCTGAAATTAAACGGAACATGACTCGTGACCATGGAAACAGTAACTGGCAACTTCCGGAACTACGACAAGCATTGAAAAAGGAGATCGCTATTCTGGAGTTAGGTCAATCTTTACATACAGGTGAAGTTCATAACGCTACCGCTTCATTCCTTACGGGGACACGATTTCATCCGAATGAAAAGAGAGCGGAACGTCCGAGATCTCCTTTTTGCGGCGACCATCACTTAGCAAATGACTGTAGGAAGGTAACAAATACTGTTGAACGTAAGAAAATTGTTAAAGAGAAAAAGTTATGTTTTAATTGTCTAGGACGCCACCAAGTAGCTACATGTAAATCGAACCATCGATGCCGTTTTTGTCAGCGAAAACACCACACTAGCATCTGTGACAGTAATCCCCAGCCATTAACCCCACATAGTAATTTGTATGCTACAGCCCCAAGTTACACTCCAGGTTTAAGAGATCAAGCTACTTCCGGTTCTAAAATCATTTCCGGTTCCAGTGATCAGTCCGCAATACTACATTCTACTACACATTCTAGACCTAAAGTTTTGTTGAAAACCGCTGTTGCGAAAGTATCATCTGGAGTTGCATCTGGTAACCTTTGTACAGATGTTAACATTTTATTTGACGAAGGGGCACAGAGGTCATTTGTAACAAAGGAACTTTCAGAAAGACTCGAACTCAGAAGAACGGGAACAGAAGTCGTAGAGCTTGCAGCATTTGGTTCATCTTCAAAGAAAGTAAGTCATATTGATACCGCAACAGTATATTTATTAACTGATACCAAAGAAAAGATAGCTATAGATGTCCTGATTGTCCCAACTATTTCCCGTCCCCCTAAAAAAGGTACAACAAGCCACAACAGCACTTCCGTATCTTCGTGGGCTTAAAACTTGCGCATCCGGTTACAGATGACGACACTTTCAATATATCACTTCTGATTGGTGCAGATAAGTACTGGGATATTGTCAGTAATAGAGTGATCCGTGGTAATGGTCCCACAGCTGTCCAGTCCAAGATAGGATACTTGCTTTCCGGTCCTTTTCCGGTTTCTTCTACTGATACCGCTACAGACTGCATATTAAAATGTATTAATATCTAAGCCAGATACACATGACCTAGAACGTTTCTGGAAAGTTAGAGTCTCTAGGTATTCAGCCTGAAAAAGAAGATGAAACTACCTCCGACTACATGGCAACATATCAGGAAAAATGCATTGAATTCAAAGACGGACGTTATTCAGCACAGTTACCATGGAAACGTGACCATCCGGTGTTACCTGACAATTATAACATTGTTCTTAAAAGAACGGAAAATACAATCCGACGCCTACGACAAGATACGAACATGTTACAGAAGTATGGCCAAATTATTTCAGAACAAGAAAATCGAGGCTTTTATCGAGAGAGTTACAGACGACAATATAGATAAAAAGAGTTCACTACATCCCACATCACGGTGTGAAAAAAAGATTCAGCCACCACCCCAATCCGAATAGTATATGACTGTAGTTGCCGCCAAAATAAAGATTCCCCTAGTCTGAACGATTGTTTAGAATCAACACCCCGGAATTAAATGACTTAACCAATATACTTACGAGATTTCGCTTACACAGATTTGCTGTCTCGACAGACATTGAGAAGGCATTCCTGCACGTGCAACTTGACGAAAGAGATCGTGACATCACCCGGTTCCTGTGGTTAAGTGACAGTACCAATCCAGATAGTAACTTGGTAACTTACAGGTTCAAATCTATACTCTTTGGAGCTACATGTTCACTGTTTATCCTACAAGCTACAGTTATGAAACACCACGATTTCAACAACATCAAATGGGTAAATCAAATACTGAAGAAAGAGTTATATGTAGAAAACGATTATTAAAAATGGCCACAATACAAGAGACCTAATGTCGTCTGCTGGTTTTAAATTGCGTTCATGGAATTCAAACATTTTTCATTTGCGCGCGCTTTCCAATTTGAAAGCAGACAACATACATGATTCAGACGAAATTACGAAGATTCTAGGCATGAGATGGGATGCTATTAATGACCAGATATTTTTGAACCAGAGATCTATAAATAGGCTCAATCCGATGACAAAACGTACCATACTCCAAGAAACGGCGAAATTGTATGATCCTCTTGGATTCTTCAGCCCATTAACGATAAGAGCTAAGCTCCTACTACAAGACATATGGAAAGAAAAATACGAATGGGACGCACCACTTCCGGAAGCCATACAGACACAGTGGCAGAATATAGCAGAAGATATCAATGGTACAATTACGAACAAATTTCAAAGATACTACTTTGATAAAGCAGACATAAAAATCACTTCCGGTAATGTAGGGAACCAGACAGAACTAGCAGATGATACAATTTCCCTTCATGTATTTTGCGATGCAAGTCTACAAGCCTATGGATCAGTGGCATACATCGTCAAAGGCAAACAGTCTACATTGGTCATGTCGAAAACTCGTGTTTCACCACTTAAGCAATTGACACTACCGAAACTCGAACTTATGGCTGCGGTTATTGGAGCCCGTCTTACAAAACACGTGTTAAAGTCTATACCAGCACATTCAGTCTACATATGGTCTGACAGCCAAATAGTTCTTCATTGGTTAGCGACTAATCGGAAGTTGAAGACATTTATACAAAACAGGGTCACGGAAATTCACGAAATTACAGAGAACCGGAAGTGGAGGTATTGTCCAACAGACCAGAATCCAGCCGATCTATTAACAAGAGGTTTGTCAGCCAAGGAATACCAGAAAAGCAGATTATGGAATAATGGCCCAAAATGGCTTCCTGACATTAATAGTTGGCCTAGCTGGCAAGCAAATGACAATGCCATTTTGTTCACAACAACCGAAAATGAAGAAGATGATTTAAACCATGAAAGGTGTTCGAACCTTACACAGCCCTCTCAAGAAATTCACCAACTCATTGATGTTGAGAAATTCAGTCGCTATAAGAAGCTACTCAGAGTAACTGCCTATGTGAAACGTTTTATCCATAATTGTCGCACAAGAAACAGAGCCAGAAGAATGTCAAGACTCGAACCTTTAACCGTTCAAGAGTTACAAGAGGCTGAACGACTGTGGCTACATAACACCCAGTTCTTGAAGTATCAGGCTGAGATAAATAATCTGAAATCAAATGGTAAACGACTTACTCTAGTGAAACATTTACGACTTTCCTTGGATGAAGATGGATTTCTACGATGTGGCGGGAGAATCCACAATGCACCAGTAATAGAATTCACCAGATTTCCATACTTACTTCCCGCAAAACATCCTTTCACACGGTTAGTAGTTTTAGACGCACATGAGAACCAACTTCACGCAGGCACAAGTGCATTGATCACACATTTACGACAGAGATACTGGATACCCTCTATCCGTCAGTATATACAAAGCCTTCTCCGGAAATGCGTTCAATGTCGAATGGTAACTGGCAACCATATACAGCACCAGATCCACCACCCCTACCAAAAATTAGAGTACAAGATACATCTCCATTTACAGTCACCGGGGTTGATTTCTCGGGAGCACTGTATGTACGAAGCAATTCTAGAATTGAGCATAAGGCTTATATTTTGTCTATTTACGTGCGCTTCAACAAGAGCTGTCCATCTCGAGCTGGTACCAGATTTATCAGAAGAAACTTTCATCCAAGCGTTTAGAAGATTTACAAGTCGAAAATCCCTACCCCATATAATGATATCAGACAACGCAACAACATTCAATGCAGCAGCAAATACCATTCAACAACTCATGAGATCAACGGCAGTTAATGACGCTCTACACAGCCATGGTACTGAATTGAGATTCATACCTAAGCGAGCACCATGGTTTGGCGGTTGGTGGGAGCGACTTATTGGACTAACAAAATCCACCATCAAGAAAGTTTTAGGTCGTTCATTTATTAGTTACGAGAGCCTCCAGACAATAGTAACAGAGATTGAGGGTATAATGAACGACAGACTGCTTACTTACGTCACTTCCGATATAGGAGACCCGGACCCATTAACACCGGCGCATCTGCTTTATGGACGTCGTATAACATCCCTTCCATATGATGGCAATACACCAGAACCACAGAATGTTACAATGTCTGACGTAACAAAAAGGGCAAGAATGCAGGCACAACTTATCAGTCATTATCGTTTACGATGGAGTCACAAATATCTTACGTCACTACGTCAGTACCACGAAACAACAGGAAACAACACTCAGACAGTTCAGGTTGGCGACGTTGTACAGATTTATGATGAATCACCAAGAACGCAGTGGAAACTAGGCGTAATCCAGCAGTAAATTTAAGGTAATGATGGCCTCACACGAGCAGCAATATTTTACGCACGAGTAATGGACTTGTCACTTCGAGACCTATTGTGAAACTGTACCCATTAGAAATCATTTCTACATCGTAATCATTTCGTGGCCGGGAGAATGTCGGGAAGACGTACGCTATGTGTAGGCGGGAACAACAACGACGTATTGACGGCGGGAATCAAGATGACGCCAACGTTTATACCAACGTCACTACCGCTTTACTTGTATATATTATTGAGATATTAAAAAGATAGAAACAAGACACAACGCGAAGCTTATATCTATACCCCACAGTAGTAGAGAAGAATATCTCCATTTTAAGAGGTCTTTTGGTAATGAAAACTGATGGCTGAAGTAATTACAGATTTGAAACCTATGTGAAAACAGATGACTGAAAATAACAATAACTGAAAATAACAAAGGGCAATTTCTGAAAAATGATACAGGGTAGAGTTATCATTCTTGTGCAATGCACTCCTCCTCAATATGATCTATCCACCTATGAAGTTTCAAGTTGATACCTCAAATACTTTTTTAGATATGCTCCAGACAAAAATGTGGGACGGACTGTTAGTCTAGTGTGGTTTACTTCTCTTCTGATATGGAATAAAAGATAAATAAGATATAAAGCATCAGTCTTGTCATAAACGACATCTTTGTATAAATATGAAATAAAAACTGTTCCGCAAAGAGTATTTTATGATTGGTAATTTGAAATTAGTGTTAAAGCAATAAATATATAAATGTTTTACTCAATTTCTCATTATTACGCTGATAGAGATAAACGAAATGTAATGGTTAAGTAATGTAAAGTTAAGAATCGGCAATTCGTTACAAAATATGATATGGTCAAATTTGATATGTGTAAATACTGATAAATGGGTTTGGTTATCAGTCTCCTTTTAGATGTATTAAAACATCTTTTGTGTATAGATTGTCAGTTATGAACACATTACAGGACATTTAAATGTTCGATCCCACTTCGCATCTGCCCGCGAAATTCACGAGCATAAATATTGAATGTATACTTAGAGTGATATTATGCCCGTCTAAGGGTATATAGTGAGTAAACAAGGGCTGAGTTATCATTCTTGTGCAATGCACTCCTTCTCAATATGATCTATCCACCTATGAAGTTTCAAGTTGATACCTCAAATTGCACGAGATTTTGTTCATTGTTTTTTGGAGTATGATTTCTCTGATCATACGATGGACCACGTGCATGTCAGTGAAATTATAAGTTTATTACGCAGACGGGAAATAAAGGTTGATGGTTGTGTGTCATTCTGTAACGATTCTACACCATTGGCAGCGTTAATCTGTGAACAATTAGAACTGAGAGGTAGCATAATAATTACAATTTATATAGTGACGTTTTGCATAACGCCCGGGTACTATGTCAGTTTGAATTTCCACTAACAAAATAATATATTTCAGATAACTACACAAGCATATTGCCGTTGTGTATATGCCGATTGTACCTATCAGTTTTCAAAAAAACAATACAAAGAACCAGAGTTTAGTATATAGCTCTTCAATTAAATTTAGTTTTAGAAATGTTATATATATAAAGTGGTGTGTAAATGTATGATTAAGCTACCATTTTATTTTATGAGAGCAGTGACATTCAATTAAAGGCACATTTTGCCTCAGAAACGAATAAATATTTTCTTCTTTAAAAAGGACAAATAAGAGTTTTGTAACATTGATATAATGGTATTAAAGCATTTTAGATGAATAACACCAATTATAACAATTATAAGCGGACACCAAAAAATAAAAGCATATCTGAGGCATAATGGGTCTTTTAGTATTTTAAGTAACCGTTTGTCTTTATTAGCATATGTCATGTTTACTGATTTTATTATAAAATTTTATTTTATATTTTATTAAATTATTTTACAACAATAATAATTTAGGTCTGAGCTACAAATCAGCCATAATAGCTAACTCAAAATCACAAACGCAGAATTTGTTGAAAATGAGTAATATAGAAATTGACGCTGTGTCAAATACTGATGTATTTTGTTCACATGCAGTTCATCTAAGAAGTGATCTGGACTGTGATGCGTTACCGAAAAGGTTTGTGTTGGTATTTCGTTTATTTGTCTTATTTATTCTTCGGAATTTTTATGTGTTTGTTGTTGAGTAAGGTATGAACAATACTCAAACAATAAACCTTACTTAATATTAAATTTACAATTTTGTTTTTGTTTTGTTAAGATTCTATAGTAAAGTAAAAGTACACAATACATAAAAAACTTTTCAAACCAAATAGTGTATCAAAATAAGAAATAATTAATTGAAAAGCATGCGTATCACATAGATTTTAATTGTCGCTTAGACTATGTTATAACTTTTAAAGTGTCATCGTTTTTTTATATTATAAGTTACACAATCAGTTCAACAAAACTTTTTGTTCAATTTATTCGTGTTTATTTTTTCATTATCAGTTTTAAATTTCCGGCGATACTCAAACTAGATAACTGTTCGGGAGGTGTTGGAGCGTGCATGGTTGAAAGCAAAGGGGAATTGAAAAACAAATTCCAACAAATAACAAGCTCTCTATGCACAGATTCGGACTTTCCAAGGATTGGACTAAGTCGAGGCAATTCAATGACAACATTTGAATTTTACAATGGTACTGAGCATAATGTCGATGTCATGTTATATAACAAAACCCTTGTATGGGCTTTTATAACTGACAATGGAATAGTACGTCAGCCAATTTATATAGGTAACGTTATTATATTTAAAGAATCGTTTTACTTTAGATTCTGCATGTCAAATCGAAATCAGTTATAAACAAAACAAAGGTGAGAGAAATCAGAACTAAGCAAGCATGATACATGCTTGCGTTTCCAAAAATTACTGTTGTTATGCTCAATTAAATTAAATTTTATAGTAACATAATGCTTTCAAGCAAAGATTTAGAGTAATAAAACACTAAAATTTATAAAGCACAAACTGTTTATTACGCAAACAATTCGAAATATACAACTCATCTTCACGGCAAAAACATAGACTTGCCTTGAATATGATTGTACACGATCTAAATTTAAGTTAGCAGTATGCGCCAAGAATCGCCTAAAGGCTTTTTGTAGGAGAATGTTGAAATAGTTCTGAATATATTACTTTAACAAATACATTTTAGGTACTGCCAAACGGATGCCTTCATTTCTACCGGAAGTTAACCGTAATCAGCTGATCGATGCAGCCTTTAGATGCTGCTTAGGGATAGGTAATATAAATATTTTGAAGCTATTTTTGTAGACATAAGATAAGACGCAACGTTTAAGATTTATTTCAGACATTTGATAGAGTATTATGTTAATTTCATTCTCTGCAATTCTTTTATCGACATATACAGGCGATACTTACATGTTCAATTATATTTCGAAAGGTCTAACGGATGGAACATTCAATGTTGAGTTTATAATGACAGCAAACGGACCGAAACTTGTAGAAATCAATCCAAAAATGTGTGGATACGTCTTCAGGGATTGGATAATGAAATTGTACGGAATTGATATCATGTTCTATACAATGATGATTTCTTGTGGAATAAAACCTAAAATAACAAACATTTCAACAGACATAATACAGATGGGCGTGATGGTGATACCATCTTTACATGGTAAACTTTTGACAGAAGATCAATACAAACATAAGCTGAGTGAAATGATTGATAGTGGCCAGGTCTTTTTTTTCAGTTCCTAGATAGTTTTGAGCATTTGTCCACCTATGACAAACCGTTTGGAAATGTTTCTGTTTCCGGGTCAAACTCGGTTGAGGTAAAGAAGAAATTGATGAATGTGTGTAGAGCGCTCGACATAGACAAAAATGATTATCAAGTTGACATTTTTATAAGGAATTTTTAAATTACACACAGTATAATAATATAATCTTGTATTTTTCAATGAATTGATAGTACGATAATAAATGTAATCACATATTTATTTTGATAATGTTTAAATACAATAACGTTAATTTCAATCAAGAGACCATCATACCAAATATACAATATATGAATAGAATGTTATACTGCTTAGGTGTTTGACATGCTGGGGGTGACATTGTTTTTTTCGTGATTAATGTTCTGTTTGATGTTTGTTTAACCAATAACTTTTGTGCGAATTTAAAGATCATTCGCTTAACCAGCTTTTGCAGATAATTAATGCAATTGTCAAGAAGTAATCCAAAATTGAAAAGCGTAGCAACGCTTTCCACTCAAATCCGCTAAGAATAGCAGGTAGTCAAATACAATTTTCAGTTTATTTCTGAGTATATTCTTGATTATCGTTTATATGCAATTCCAACTGATCTTTGTATTTTTTTTCTTTATATATTTATTGACACATTTGTCTAAATACATAGATAATAAAATGACACGTACCTGTTGTCTTTCGTTCCTCCATCTTGAATTGAAGCACCGTGCAAATACTATTAAAAGTTGTACTAGATTTTTACATCCATTCCTATCGACAGGTTATGTAGTCTGACCGCAATCAATAACAAGCACAATACATTAATTAGCTTATAATTCATGATTGATTGTATTTAGTCTTTCTTTGTTTCATTTAAAAAATCGATTAAAAATGACTGTAGTATCATGACAAAGAAAACTCCTGTAACGATTTTATGATGTTTTCATTTTCGGTTACAAGCCACATAGAAATGCAAAGAAGTGGAAAAGAAGCCTTTGCTGAGGAATCGTTGAATACTCAAATTGTTTAGAATTATTGCCTTAACCCCCCCCCCCCCCCCCCAATAGAAATCTCATGGTTACCAGTACAAATTTTGCTAAAAGGCATCAATTGAGAACCCACCCCCACGCCCCCCCCACCCACCCAAAAAAAAACGAGAAAAAAAAACAAAACAAAAAAAACAAATGCGCTCATTATATAAACCTTACCAAATCATTCATACGTTCAGGTCATTTTCTATTTAAATTAAGTACTTTTGTACATTATTCTGGATGA